CACCCTATCAAAGAGTGCCAACCCTTAACACTATGAAGGATACTCTGCTAAGCTTGCAGACAAGAGCATCTAAGAGTTCTACTCTGAGAGAGTATACCAAGCATTGCCTCAAAACAGATGCTTAGACTCACAGCCAGCTATTGGCCTATGAGTAGGGAGTCTTTGGGTATAGTGAGAAGAAAAAGAAAAGGACCCGGAGGTGACAGGAACTCCACAAGAAGACCAACAGGGTTAACTAACCAGGGCCCAGAGGGGCTTGCTGAGACTGAAGCATGAACCAAGGACCATGCATGAACTGGACCTAGACCTCCTACAAAAATGAAGCAGATGAGTAAGTAGCCTATGCTTCATTTGGGTCCTGTAGTAAGGGAAGTAAGGACTACACTGGGCATGATCTCACTTGCCAGCATTCTGATCAGCAACCCCTGGAGAAACTGCCTTGACAGCCCACAGGGGAAGAAGGCAGGCTCAATTCGGTCATAACTTGATGAGCTACAGTGGATGGGAAGGGAAGCTTGTTTCCTGAAGAAAAAAAGTGGAGGAGGAGGAAGATAGAGTGTGGGTGGGACAGAGAAGGGAGGAGGGATGACACACAAGGTTTTAAGATGAATAAAAAATTTTAAAAATTAAAAAGCAACTTTTTACCCTTTCAAATGTCTCGTATCTAATTCATCAACAAATCCTGATGATTTTAAGTTCAAATTATATGTATAATACAATATGTTCTTCACAAGCCTCCAGTATCATCATTATGATTCAATATACCACCATTTTTTTTATCATGATTATGTCACTTCTACAAATCTTCCACACTTTATTTCCATGCTTTAACTTGTTAGTGGATTTGCATGTCACTCAATTTAAAATCAAGAGTTAGAAGCCACAGTTCAGCAGTAAAGTTCTTGTCCAGCTTTGAAAAGCTACTAGGTCCCAAACACAGCATTTCAAACACAGAGCGAGAGCAAGAATGAGAGTGAGAGCAAGTACTGTGAGTAGCAGCTCACTCCTGCAATTTCTGTATAAGGAAGCTAAAACAGGAGGATTGCTTTAAGCTTGAACCTATCTCACAGAGGGGATGAGAAAAGAGAGGGAGGCAGGGAGGAAAAGGAGAGTGACAGAAAGCAATAAAGATCAAGTATTTAAAATGTTCTCTAAAGGTCTTCATGTTTCTCTGCTATTTTCCACACACCCTTATACTCCTTTTCGGCTCAATCAATTTACTCTAGGTATTATGACCTTCTGAAAATATTTGATATGCTATTTCTTCAGGGTCTTTGAAATTCGCTCCTTCCTCTGCTTACAGCTATCTTGTTCATAAAGAAAATGTGTTACATTTACACAATGGAATACTACTCAGCTATTAAAAACAAAGAAATCATGAAATTTGTAGGCTAAGGGATAGAACTAGAAAATATTGTCCTGAGCAAGATATCCAGAACCAGAAAGACACATTTGGTATGTACCCACTTTTAAGTGGATGTTAGCCATATAGTACAGTATGATAACCATACTGTAATCCACAGACTCAAAGAAGCTAAGTAACAAGGAGGGCCCAAGAGTGGATGCTTGAATCTCACTCAGAAGGGAAAATAGTATAGACATAGATAGTAGATGGAGGAAGAAAACTATGTGGCAGATAGGGTTGGGGGGATAAGGGAAGTGGATATCAGATGGGTGGTTAGAGCAGAAAAGTAAGAAATGAGAGAAGGAGAATGGAAATCAGGGGAGGTGCATCTCTGGAAGACAGAAGGTCCTGTGAGTGTATGGGGATGACCTTAGCTGTGGCTTTAAGCAAAAGGTGTTAAGAAGCATAAAGTAGGCACTTCCTGTGACCAGATGGAACTTCAAGCAGAGGGAATGGGACACCAACCCAAACATAAAAACCTTTGACTAAAAAATGTATATTATTTACAAGAAATGTAAGGACAAAGATAGAATATAGATTGATGGTATGGCAAACCAGTGATTGACCCAACTTGAGACCCACTCTTGGGAGAGGGGCAACCACTGTCACTATTATTAATCTTCTGCTATGCTTCCAGATAGGAGTCTAGCATAACTGTCTTCTGAGAGGCTTCATCTGGAAGCTGATAGAGACAGATATAGAGACCCAAGGCCAAGCAAAGGGCTGAACTTGGGACTACTATAAAAGAATGGAAGGAAAGATAGAGGGATCTGAAGGACTCAAGGACACCATAAGAAGACCTACAGAGTAATCTAACCTTGGGCCCGTGGTGGCTCACAGAGACTGAAACACCTACTAAGAGCTTGGATGGACAAAACCTAGACCCCTACACATACTTAGCAAATTTCCAACTTGGTCATCATAAGCATCCCCTAACAATAGGAGTAGGGACTGTCTTTAAATCTGCTAAGTACCACTGGGTCACTTTCTCCTAGTTGGGCTGCCTTGTCACTTACCATTGAGAGAGGATGTGCTTAGTCCTGCTGTAATTTGAGATACCAGGGTGGATTGGAACCAATTGGAAGCCTCCCATTCTCTTAGATGAAGGAGAGGAAGGGATGGGAGGAGGTAGGTCATGGGAGTAGAAGGGGGCTGTTATCAAGATATAAAGTGATTAAATAAATAAATAAATGCAGACAGAAAACTATCGTGTTCAGATAGGGGTGTTTTTCACTTCTGGACTTCCGAGCTTTAATGAAATGCTGTTTTCTCCCTAAGATTTCCATTGCCACTGTTAGTGTTAACATATCTGCAGCCTGCCTTTAGGTTGCTTAGCAACCTGTAACATCATTATTTGTTGTCACCACCAGGGACCTGGAGATACAAGGGCCCAGTCTTTTACTCCCCTCTCCCCCTCAGTTTCTCTCCCTCTTTCTGACTTCTCTCTCCTGAGGCTCCTTGCCCATTCCCCCTTCTCTTTTCTATGCTCCTTCACTGTTTGTCTCTATCTCTGTCTCTCTCCTCACCTCCATATAATAAATCACTTCATGCCAGATCTGTTGAGTGTGTGGCATTTTCAAATATATATTTTATAGCCACTTCATCTATATTCAGGTGTTACTCAATTATTATGCACATTTTTGTTTACTTGTTGTCTACTTCTTTCTATTATAATCTAGGTGTGAGACAAATAAATGTTACAGGCTGCTGTAGCATTCTTTTCTAGAACAGCTGCTGATGTGTAGTTGTCACATAGTAACCATTTGCTGAAAAATAAAAGAAATTAAGCTAACTGGCTTTCAACAATAAGAATTTCAGATAAAGTGTGTTTGTTTGTTTGTTTGTTTGTTTGTTTTTTATTGAATGCTATAGTATCCAAGAAAGCTTTTGTTAGTTCCAAATTGCCTTCCAACATAGCAGCACTGATGGAATTATCCTAAACAGAAGTACTCTGACTGAGTAAAACAGAAGGAAGGTTATTGGGTAAACAGAAACCTAAATTTACATTTCTTCAGGAATACATGAGGTGGGTTTCTCTATACTAGGAAACCCACTAAGTCCTTTTATCTACCACAGTGGTCATCTACCTTGAGAAAAGGCATGGAACTCCTTTACAACATGGAACATATTCAAGCCCCCTTGCTAAATCCCATTATGTTCTGGCCCATAACTACACAACCACTGCTACCTGTCTGTCCACTTAAACCTGGTAAAGATTTTGCCCCACCACCTGTTGTTCTCTACAACAAATGGTGCCCAACTAATCTTAAGTATCCACACCCTTTAAATCATACTTTCTCATAATTTGAAGGGGGGAATAAGCTCCCAGTGATAAAACCCAAATTTAAAAGCTAAAAACTCCCAGGTCAATTACTGTCTCTTTAAGAGAGACTCTTAAACCTGCCCAGGAGCAAAAGACAGTCTCTTATGGGCAGACCTGAGACTTCTATAACAAAACTGGCTGCTGCTGCAGTTTAACTGAGGGGTAAACAAACATGGCTCTTTTATACTGTGGCTGGCTCAACTGGCTCAGCTCCACAGACATGGCAGGAAAGAAAGGAACTGGAGGCAGACAGACCTCTAGACAGAGTTCAGCCTAAATTGATTTCTAAAAAAAAAAAAAAAAAAAAAATGCCATGGCAGAGGGTGTTTTAATCGATTTTGGCTTTTTTTGGTTGTCATAGTCATGGATCTGCTTGCAATATGTTTAATGGTGTTGGTTCTTCTCCATACCTTCTCCAAGAAAGTTGAAGGAGAAAATGGGGGAAAAAACAAGGATTGGGATACTAAGTTACAGACAATAGTACTCATCCTGATAATTAGGTTAATAACAGCTAAAATTTAAAGCTCTCTGGCTGCAAGATATTTGTCAGCTCTTTCTGGTAATGGTCCGCCAATTCACTGAAACATCAACTAAAATAACCAACTGGGTTTTGTTTGTTACAGCGTAAATTGGCACAACTGACCCCAAACTTAAGATTTTCTTGTCTCTTTGTTTGACTTTCATTTAGAAGCTTTGAGTTACATCGATGTTAATTTGAGAAAAAAATATTTAAACAAGTTGGTGAAGGCACATACCTTTCTTCACAACACCAACTAAAAGGAAACAGGAAAGTCTCTGAGTTTAGGATCAAGCTAATTTACATAATAAAAGCCAGAATGGCAACTCCTGCTGTTTAGCCATTTGCAGAAATAGTCTAAGATTCTAAATGACAAAATTTTCCTTAGGGTTACCACGTAAATTCTTTTTTTTATTAATAATAGCTATTATGTCCTTACTGATCTAAAGGTGGGATTCACATCATTTTTAGGTTTATGTAAAGAGAGATAATGTTACACTGCTCTGAAAACTCCCTTATCCTTTTACTTTTTTATGTGAATTTATACTTTATTTTTTTGCATTTTTTTATTTTATTAATTACACTTTATTCATTTTGTATCCCCCCATAAGCCCCTCTCTCCTCCCCTCCTGATCCCACCCTCCCTCCCCTTTCTGCATGCATGCCACTCTTCAAGTCCACTGATAGGGGAGGTTCTCCTCTCCTTTGTTGTGGAGAGCCGCTTGGGCATGCCCGGGCAAAAACGCCATTACAAGATGGCGCCAACATCTGGCTCTGGCCCTGGAAGACAAGTAATATTTCTCATGCGCAAGGGCAAAAGCGCGCCAAGTCTTGGCCCAGCCCAGGGCGTTTTGTGAGGTAATGAGTAAGCAGCCAATCATAGACCACACGCCTCCTCAAGGAGTATATAAGCAGTGCCATTCCTGGGCTCAGGGTCTTCCTCTCTCATCGCTTGACTGCAATAAAGCTTGCTGCAGAAGAATCCTGTTGTCCGTGTGTGTGCGTTCTTGCTGGCGAGACGACCACGCAGGTTGCAACAACTGGTGCCGAAACCCGGGACTCCGGGAGACCGATCATCGTTGGTGCGGAGGAGACCCCTCACTGTGGGAAGGATTCAGAACTGCAGCCTCAGGTGAGCTCTGAGAGACATGTTCTTTGAACCCTTGTGGCTCTTGGGGTAGTTCTTTTGGCTCTTCTTTTGTTTTGTGTGGGCAGATATATTTACTTTCGATTCGGCTGTTAAAAGTGCTTTTGGCTGTAAAAGACATAAGTCGGACTTAGATAAGCCGCCATCTTTGCCTGTGCGTAAATTCTCCTGCAGATAAAGGAGCATCATAGGAGCCTCTCACTCTACAGTGAAGGCATTGCAACTCTTATTGAAGGAACACAACCTCACCATTAAAAAGAGATACTTGGAGGGCTTTGTTGAGGAGATTGACCGAGTTGCTCCCTGGTTTGCTGTCTCCGGAAATCTAACACTCGCAGCCTGGGATAAATTAAAGATTGATTTAGATCGAGAAAAGGGGCAGGATAAGCTGAGAGCTGGTATTATTCCCTTATGGAAATTGGTCCGGTCCTGCTTACGGGACTCTAATTGCCGCCACGCTATTTTGGAAGGAGAAGCTATTTTAGGGGAACTACAGGACAGCATGTCAGAAACAGAGCAAAGTGAACGGTTAGGGGCCCCGAAAGAAAAAGCAAAAGGATAGGCAATCAAACCCCTCCAAGGAGGAGCAAGATAAGGGAAAGGACGCCCTGGGAGAGAAAGATAGAGAAGAGTTTCTTATTAAACCAAACAAAAGGGGGAAGGAGCCGTTGTATCCATTAAAGGAACTGGAGGCTTTGGGGCTTTCCAGTTCCGATTCGGAAGGGCTTTCCCCCTCAGAGGAGGAGGATCTAGAAGAGGAAGCGGCTCGCTATGAGAAAGAAAGGTACCACCCAGATGAGCGGCCGCCCGGGAAAAATCTGAAACAAAGAAAAATAGGAAGCCGAGGTACTGTTTCCTCTCGGCCTGATGTTTCCGCTGTTTCCTCTGCTCCCCCGCCTTATTCCTCGGGTGGAAGCTCAAGGACATTCATGTCCTCCCAAGCTCGAAGACAAATCTCTCTCGAATATCCTGTATGGGAAAATGTTGAAGGAGGACGCACTCATGTGGCTGTAGATTACATCCAGATAAAAGAGCTCGCAGAATCTGTCAGTAAATATGGTATAGATGCTAATTTCACCATTATGCAGCTCGAGAGACTGGCATCCGTGGCTATGACTCCTAATGACTGGGAGACCACTATTAAAGCTGCCTTACCCAATATGGGTCAATATATGGAATGGCAAGCGCTATGGTATGATGCCTGTAGGGCTCAAGCGCGGACTAATGCCTTGGAGGTGGGCCCTCAGAGGGATTGGACCTTTGATCTCTTGACAGGTCAAGGTCGGTATGCCAACAACCAGACCGATTATGAGTGGGGAGCCTATGGACAGGTTTCAACTGCCGCCATTAAAGCGTGGAAGGCACTTTCAAAAAAAGGGAACCCACAGGTCATCTAACAAAAATAATTCAGGGCCCTCAGGAGCCTTTTACAGACTTTGTGGCCCGAATGACTGAGTCGGCAGGCAGGATCTTTGGTGATCCTGAACGAGTCAAGCCAATGATAGAACAATTAATCTATGAAAATGCTTCCCCCGAATGTAAAGCACCTATCCTCCCAAGGAGAAATAAGGGACTAACTGATTGGATAAAAATCTGCCAGGGACTGGGAAGACCCCTTACCAATGCAGGCCTAGTGGCTGCCATTTTACAAAGCAAAAATCAAGGTCAATCTAAAAATCCTAGGGTTTCCTACAACTGTGGAAAGCCAGGACATCTCAAGCGAGAATGTCAAACTGAACAGCAAAAGAAAATCCCTGGCCTTTGCCCAAAATGTAAGAAAGGACGTCATTGGGCCAATGAGTGCAGGTCAGTTAAGGATATTCAAGGAAAGGTTATTTACCATGACACCCCAGTTGAAGGAAAAAATGATACCACTCCAAAAAACGGGATTCAGGGCCCCAGGTCCCAGGGCCCCAAAAGATATGGGGCACAGATAGGGAACAGGAGAGTCTATCCAGCTGTAGAGCAACAAGAGGATCAGCAGGATTGGACCTCCGTGCCGCCTCCCAGTTCTTATTAGTCGTCCACATGGGAGTTCAGCCGGTCCCTGTACAATTTTCAGGCCCTCTACCTGAAGGGACCGTTGGCCTCATTTTGGGACGCTCTTCACTTACCTTGGAAGGGCTTGTGATCCACCCTGGCATTTTAGATCAAGACTTTACTGGGGAACTTCAAGTTCTCTGTTCCTGCCCTCAAGGTATTTTCTCTATATCTCCTGGGAACAGAATTGCCCAGTTGATTCTGCTTCCCAGTTTACACGATCACTTTCCGTCTGCTGGAGTAACTAGAAACTCCAGCTGCCTTGGCTCTTCTGGAACTGACTTTGCCCACTTGGTGGTTGACCTTAAGACTAGACCCACCTTACAATTGACAATAGATGGCAAAATTTTTATTGGAATTTTAGACACTGGGGCAGACAAAAGTATTATTTCCTCCAACTGGTGGCCTAAAAACTGGCCTGTTTCACAGTCATCTCACTCCTTGCAAGGGCTAGAATATGAAGCTAGTCCCACCATCAGCTCCCGTTCCCTAAGATGGCGGGACTCGGAAGGTCAAACAGGAACTTTTGTTCCTTACGTCCTCCCCCTCCCTGTCAATCTCTGGGGAAGAGATATTTTACAAGGCCTGGGTCTTACCCTGACTAATGAATATTCCTACCAATTCAGAGATATAATGAAAAGGATGGGATATAAAGAAGGAAAGGGATTAGGAAAAAGGGAACAGGGAAGGCTGAGCCCTGTTCCCCAGGAAGGCAACAAAGGGAGACAGGGTTTGGGTTTTTCCTAGTTGCCACTGAGGGTTCTATACCCATACCATGGCTTACAGAGGAAGCGGTTTGGGTTCCTCAGTGGCCTTTATCCTCTAAAAAATTAAAAGCTGCAACAGAGCTAGTTAAAGAGCAGTTACAACTGGGACATTTGGAGCCTTCCACCTCTCCATGGAATACACCTGTTTTTGTTGTAAAAAAAGAAGTCAGGAAAATGGAGACTTCTCCATGATTTAAGGGCTATCAATGCACAGATGCAATTACTCGGGTCTGTGCAGCGAGGCCTTCCTTTACTGTCTGCCTTACCAAAAATGTGGAAGATTATAATTATAGATATTAAAGACTGCTTTTTTTCTATTCCTTTATGCTCACAAGATAGACAAAGATTTGCTTTTACCTTGCCAAGTGTCAATCACCTGAAACCAGATAAAAGGTATCAATGGAAAGTCTTACCTCAGGGCATGGCCAACAGCCCCACTATGTGTCAACTATATGTACAGAGGGCCCTTGATCCAGTTAGGAGAGAATTTCCTTCTTTAATTTTGGTCCGTTATATGGATGATATCCTCTTGTGTCATAAGGAGCTAGTTATTTTACAAGCAGCCTATCCTTTGTTGCTAAAAACGCTAGAACAATGGGGCTTGTGCATCGCTACTGACAAGGTGCAAATTTCAGAAGTTGGCTTTTTTTTGGGAACGGTCATTTATCCAGATAAAATTATCCCCCAGAAATTAGAAATCCGAAAAGACCATTTACATACCTTAAATGATTTTCAAAAGTTATTGGGCGATATAAATTAGTTACGGCCCTTTTTAAAGGTTCCCTCCGCTGAGCTGAAGCCCCTGTTTGATATTTTGGAGGGAGATACCCATATTTCTTCACTTAGAAAATTAACACCGGCTGCCCACTGCGCCCTGCAGACAGTAGAAAAAGCTTTACAAAATGCTCAGTTAAGGCGTATAGATAAAACCAAGTCCTTTGATCTATGTATTTGCAAGACCAAGCATCTGCCGACTGCAATGCTATGGCAAGAGGGACCTTTGTTGTGGGTCCATCCTAATGCTTCCCCTGTAAAGATTATTGATTGGTATCCTGATGCGGTTGCTCGGCTCATTTTGGGAAAGAGCCTAAAACTTTAATAGTGCCTTATACTGCCCATCAAGTCCGATCTTTGGGCTGTTCTGGTCACTTCCTTTAGTGGCCCAGTAGATAATCATTATCCTAAGCATCCTATTTTGCAATTTGCTTTGACTCAGGAGATTGTGTTTCCATGTGTTACATCTCGGGAACCACTCCCGGAAGGAACGGTTATTTATACAGATGGGTCTAAAACGGGAGTAGGAGCCTATGTGGTTAATGATAAGGTTGTAACCAAACAATATCACAAAACTTCACCCCAAATTGTAGAATGTTTAGTAGTACTTGAGGTCCTGGAGATCTTTCCGGGCCCCTTAAATATTGTTTCAGATTCCTGTTATGTAGTCAACGCAACCAAAGTATTGGAGGCTGCTGGCTTAATTAAGGATTCCAGCAAGCTTGCCAAGATTTTTCAAAAGATTCAATTTATCTTAATTAATAGAAGGTCTCCTATTTTTATTACTCATATAAGGGCACATTCAGGCCTACCGGGACCGATGTCCCACGGAAATGACCTGGTAGATGGAGCCACAAAATTAATGAATATTGCTCTTTCTTCAAAATTAGATTTGGCTCAGGATTTTCATAAAAGGTATCATGTCACAGCTGAGATGCTGCGTCGTCGATTTGACATAAGTAGAAAAGAAGCTAGAAATATAGTAACCCAATGTCAAAATTGTTGTCAATTCTTACCTATGCCTCATGTTGGAATTAATCCTAGGGGAATCCGTCCATTACAAATTTGGCAAATGGATGTCACTCACATCCCATCATTTGGCAAATTACAATACTTACATGTCTCTATTGATACCTGTTCTGGAGTTATGTTTGCCTCTCCATTAGCAGGAGAAAAGGCTACCCATGTTATTCAACATTGCCTCGAGGCTTGGAGTGCCTGGGGAAAGCCTAAAATTCTTAAAACAGATAATGGACCAGCATATACCTCTCAAAAATTTGGACAATTCTGTCGCCAGATGGGAGTAACCCACCTGACTGGCCTCCCCTATAACCCTCAGGGACAAGGAATTGTAGAGCGGGCTCACCGCACACTCAAATCCTACTTAATAAAACAAAAAGGGGGAGTCGAGGAGGCTCTTCCCTCAGTACCACGAGTGACTATTTCCATAGCACTCTTTACCTTAAATTTTTTAAATTTGGACAATCAGGGCTGGTCCGCGGCAGATCACCACTGCTCAGAGCCCGATAGACCAAAAGAAATGGTTAAATGGAAAGATGTCCTGACTGGTCAATGGAAAGGCCCGGATCCTGTTTTAATAAGATCCAGGGGAGCTATCTGTGTCTTTCCACAGGAGGAAGATAATCCCTTTTGGTTACCGGAGCGCCTGACACAGAGGCTTGTGGTACCTGAAGATGACACCCAAGGAGACAAGTCTACGGAAGCTCCTAGTGTTGGTTTGGATCCTCCCGATCTGGGTTCCTAGTATTACAGGGGAACAACGATGGGCAATTCTTTCTGCTTTTCCAAAACCCATGCCTGTCAGGCACAACGCAAAAGTGTTTCCAAAATTCTTTACAACTAATAAGACATTGGACTTGCCCTATCTCCCATACGATACAACCGTAGCCCCGTTGGGTGAAAATCGTCCCTTTCAGGAACAAGGCTCCTTATGTTTTCAATTGGAGGATAAGGGTGAGGGTAAATGTATTAACCTCACACACCGAGCCTTAGGGCTGTTTTCTCTTAATCGACGGGGACAGATTGCAACACTTAAGACATCATGGCAATCCGATAAAAAAAAATTACACTTATTATAATCCCCGCTCTTGGTACGAGGTTACCTGGATTAATGGCACATTTTTGCCACCCAGTGTTAATAAATCCAATTCCCATGACACAACGTGCCCCCGTCAGCCCCAAATAGCCCCTTTTTGTGTTGGGAATAGTGAGGATCAGGACCCACCTTGGACGGCTTGTCAATCCCCAGTAATTCACTGGGCGGACCAGTCCCAAACCTTTACCTTTTCTCCTGATATGATGGCTGACCCAAGAAAGGACTATATTATGGCACAGGGGCTCTTCTCACAAAGTTTGAGGAGGAATCCCTTTGACATATGGCTGCTTTGCGGGGTTAATGGGAGTTGCACGGATCTTAACCCCATGAGTCTTCTCCAAGGTGGGTCCAGAAGGAAGTCACAGTTTGTTCTGGAATCTAACTTTACACAAGAGGAAAATCTCACTCACAGCCATTACGTAGTTATAAATTCCACAACAAGGGTTGTTCAACTTCTTAAAACTATAATTAATCATACTAACTACTCGCCCACCCCAGTTTGTGTTTATCCTCCCTTTATGTTTATTTTGACTAACGGACCTTTTCAAAATTGTACTAACGAAACTTGTTCAATATCACAATGTTGGAATTCACAACGGTTTACCCGTGCATTGATAGCTAAAGTACCTCAATGGATTCCTGTGCCAGTGGAAACTACCTCCACCATGTCCTTATTCAGACAGAAAAGAGACTTTGGCATTACTGCTGCCATAGTCACAGCAATATCCTTGAGTGCAGTGGCTGCGACCACTGCTGCCATAGCCATGTCTCAAATGGTGCAAGTAGATTCTACATTTAATAAGCTTTCGGCCACTGTTGCTGAAGCTTTCAATACACATGGCTTTACCTCAGCCCAATTGAAGGGCGGACTCATGGTTGTTAACCAGCGCATAGATCTGGTTGAGGAGCAGTTAGGGATCCTCTTCCAGCTGGCCCAATTGGGGTGTGAGAAAAATTTGAAGCACTATGTATAACTAGCATTCAATATGAAAATCTTACTAAGGCAGCCAACTTGTCTAGACAATTGTCTTTGTATCTTCAAGGAAACTGGTTGGAAAATTTCGATGAGACTTTGGAGCGCCTACGAGCTGCGATGATGGCCATTAATGCAACGCGCTTGGACCTGTCATTGACTGAAGGACTCTCCTCCTGGGTTTCTTCAGCCTTTTCATTCTTTAAAGAGTGGGTGGGGGTAGGCCTGTTTGGCACTGCTTTAGTTTGCGGTTTAGTGTTCTCACTTTGGTTGGTCTGTAAGCTCAAAGCCCAACAAAAACGTGACAAGGTCGTAATTGCTTAAGCGTTTGCAGCCATGGAACAGGGTTCCTCCCCCGCAATGTGGCTTTCAATGCTGACAAAAAACTGAGTGCCTTCCGCTGACAGCCCATGCACCCCTAGGAGTTGAGCTCCATTGCACAGGGAAGGATGTCACAAGTGGTATGGTCTAATTTTCTTCACACTCGGGATGTGAGGTTAAGCACTGCACAGAGAAAGGCTCATAATGGGCAGTTCTCTGGGAAGCATGATTGATTGCATGAAGGTTGTACCCAAGATCCTTCTCCTGGAAAAAGGTGCGGGACGGGTCTAGAGTCGCATACAGGTGAAGGGTCTGTAGCTGGCTCTAGTACAATGCCCCATTTTTCACACTAGGCATCAAACCTCTACTTCTGCCCGTTGTGTTCTTGTCTGTTGGTCAGCTTCTAATAAAACAAAAAGGGGGAGATGTGGAGAGCCGCTTGGGCATGCCCGGGCAAAAATGCCATTACAAGATGGCGCCGACATCTGGCTCTGGCCCTGGAAGACAAGTAATATTTCTCATGCGCAAGGGCAAAAGCGCGCCAAGTCTTGGCCCAGCCCAGGGCGTTTTGTGAGGTAATGAGTAAGCAGCCAATCATAGACCACACGCCTCCTCAAGGAGTGTATAAGCAGTGCCATTCCTGGGCTCAGGGTCTTCCTCTCTCATCGCTTGACTGCAATAAAGCTTGCTACAGAAGAATCCTGTTGTCCGTGTGTGTGCGTTCTTGCTGGCAAGACGACCACGCGGGTTGCAACACTTTGTAATCTTAGTCAATCAGTTCTCATCAAAAGTGGCTGCATTGTCCTCTACAATGGCCTGGTAAGGCTGCTCCCCCCTCAGGGGGAGGTGATCAAAGAGCAGGCCAATCAGATTATGTCAGAGGCAGTCCTTCTTCCCATTACTATGTAACCCAATTGGACACTGAACTGCCATGGGCTACATCTGTGCAGGGGTTCTAGGTTATCTCCACGAATAGTCCTTGGTTGCAGTATGAGGCTCTGGGAAGATTCCGGTGTTCAAATTATCTTGTTCTGTTGCTCTGCATGTGGAGTTACCGTCCCCTCCAGTTCTTACTATTTCCCACTTCTTACATAAAATTCCATTCACTCTGCCCATCAGTTGGCCATCAGGCTCAGCATCTGCTTTGACAGTCTATACTGCAGAGGCTTTCAGAGGCCCTCTGTGGCAGGTTCCGAGGTTGTTTCCTATTTTCTTTTTCTTCTGATGTCCATCCTCTTTGCCTTTCAGGATGGGGATTGAACATTTTAGTTAGGGTCCTCTCTTTTGCTTAGTTTGTTTAGATGTACAGATTTTAGTGGGTTTATTCTATGTTGTATGTTTATATGAGTGAGTATATACCATGCGTGTCTTTTTGCTTCTGGGACAACTCACTCAAGATGATCCTTTCCAAGTCTCACCATTTACCTGAAAATTTCATGATTTCCTCATTTTTCATTGCTGAGTAATACTCCATTGTATAGATATACCACAGTTTCTGCATCCATTCTTCAGTTGAGGGGCATCTGGGTTGTTTGCAGCTTCTGGCTATTACAAATGAAGCTGCTACAAAACATGGTTGAGCAAATGTCCTTTTTGTGTACTTGCGCCTCTTTTGGGTATATGCCTAGGAGTGGTATGGATGGATCTTGAGGAAACGCTATTCCTAGTTGTCTGAGAAAGCGCCAGATTGATTTCCAGAGTGGTTGTACCAGTTTACATTCCCACCAGCAGTGGAGAAGGGTTCCCCTTTCTCCACAACCTCTCCAGCATGTGTTGTCCCTTGAGTTTTTCATCTTGGCCATTCTGATGGGTGTAAGGTGAAATCTCAGGGTTGTTTTGATTTGCATTTCCCTAATGGCTAATGAGGTTGAGCATTTCTTTAAGTGCTTCTCTGCCATTCGATATTCGTTCTACAGAGAATTCTCTGTATAGCTCTGTTCCCCACTTTTTAAGTGGATTACTTGGTTTATGGCTTTTCAGCTTGTTTAGTTCTTTATATATATTGGATATGAGTCCTCTGTCAGATAAAGGGTTGATGATTATTCTTTCCCAATCTGTAGGCAGTCCCTTTGTTTTGATGACGGTGTCCTTTGCTTACAGAAGCTTTTCAATTTCATGAGGTCCCATTTATTGATTGTTGCTCTTAGAGCCTGTGCTGTAGGTGTTCTGTTCAGGAAGTTTTCTCCTGTACCAATGAGTTCTAGGGTATTCCCCACATTTTTTTCTAGCCGATTTAATGTGTCTGGTTTTATGTTGAGGTCTTTGATCCACTTGGACTTCAGTTTTGTGCAGGGTGATAAGTTGGATCTATTTTCATTTTTTCTACATGTAGACATCCAGTTAGACCAGCACCATTTGTTGAAGATGCTATCTTTTTTCCATTGTATGGTTTTGGCATCTTTGTCAAAAATCAGGTGTCCGTAAGTGTGTGGGTTTATTTCTGGGTCCTCTGTTCGATTCCATTGATCCACCATTCTGTTGCTATGCCAGTACCATGCAGTTTTTATAACTGTTGCTCTATAGTACAGCTTGAGATCAGGGATGGAGATACCTCCAGAAGATCTTTTATTGTAGAGGATTGTTTTAGCAATTCTCGGTTTCTTGTTATTCCATACGAAGTTGAGAATTTTTCTTTCCAGGTCTGTAAAGAATTGTGTTGGCAATTTGATGGGAATTGCATTAAATCTGTAGATTGCTTTTGGTAAGATGGCCATTTTTACTATGTTAATCCTGCCAAGCCATGAGCATGGGAGATCTTTCCATCTTCTCATATCTTCCTCTAATTCTTTCTTCAGAGACTTGAAATTTTTTCATACAAGTCTTTGACTTGCTTGGTTAGGGTTACACCAAGGTACTTTATGTCCTTTGTGGCTATTGTCAAGGGTGTTGTTTCCCTAATTTCTTTCTCAGCCCTTTTGTCTTTTGTATGCACGAGTGCTACTGATTTTTTTGAGTTAATTTTGTATCCGGCCACTTTGCTGAAGGTGTTTATCAGCTGTAGGAGTTCGCTGGTAGAGTTTTTGGGGTCACTCATGTATACTATCATATCATCTGCAAATAGTGATAATTTGACTTCTTCCTTTCCCATCTGTATCCCCTTGATCTCCTTCAACTGTCTTATTGCTCTAGCAAGGACTTCCAGCACTATGTTGAAGAGATATGGAGAGAGTGGGCAGCCTTGTCTTGTC